CTTGTGATTATTAACACAGGACAAGAATTATCACAAAAAAATAATAAAAATAAACCCAAACAAACAAAATCATCACAAAAACACCTTCGTTGAAGCTCCATCTCTCTACCAAGTTTCATTTGATGATCTTTACCCTTTCGATTGAATGATTCCCAATCCTCAAAATTGACTGTAATCGCGCGAATGTCAAACCCTAATTTGGCTCTCTCTACTGCTTCGGCGCAGCACACGGCGGTTCCCCCTATTCGTAGTGAAATCGAGGAGATTTCTCAATGGCACGGCCCCGAAAGCTCGGGGTGCAACAGCTTATGGCGCGAGGCGGCCCTGGTTGTACCGTCGGCTTTGCTGGTGTTGTACCTAGGGTTTCAAGCAAGCCGCAATGTGAAGAAGCTCAGGCACAGGAAGTCTTATGTGATGATCGCGTACTACGCGCTCTTGTGGGTCTCGGCTCTTCTCAACTTGGCTTGGTCTCTGGTTCAGGTGGGAATTTGGTCTGTGATTGTGTGTATGTTTACTTTAAAATTGGAGTTTGAGCTGGGGTGTGCTCCGTTTTTTGGGTAGATCCAGTGTGGTTAGGACCTTACTCGTGTTTGGGCTTTGAGTAACTTTAGGGTTTGTCTTGTTGAGTCGTCTGAATTTGTACAAACTTCTCAAGAATTTGGGGAAATAGAATCACAGCAGGATATTCAGCATCCGTTCAATTTTATATTTGCGTGGTGTAGTCTGTAGTATCAGTACTTAGAATTTGAAGTCTGCTTTGAATTATTTCATTGATATTATGGTTGAACTTATGTGCATCTACGACCTTCACAAATTTTGTTACTCTCAGTGGGAATTTTAATTGAATCGCATACTAACAGATTACAAAATGAAAGGTAACTAGGTTGGATCAGATTGAGTATACGTTAATTTAGGAAGAATTTGAATTTACAGTTTAGACTTAAAATGGATTGTCCTGTCCTCTCTTGAAACGTTTATCTGATACAGTTGTATTCTTTGATATTGAGCTTTTGATTTTGCATTATATGTCCTAGCTGAATTGTCTATTAAAAATGACTAATATATTTCGTTCAATCTAGATTTCCGTAAAGAGTCATTCTGAGAACATCTGTTTTGGAAAGTCATTTAAGATTCACATTATTGGTTTCATCCGTAATTGTTTGCTTGCATCCTTAATCTGAAGAAACTTGTCTTCTTTGATATGTTCTTTGGTAAAGTTAGCTTGTATCATGTTTAATATCGATCATCTAATAGTTGAAGTGGATATCACCTGTTTATTGTTTACTGATCTTTATGAGATAAAAAACAGGGATGGCAGTGTGTTCCTGATAAGGTAGTTGCTTGGAACCTGTTGTCATTATTCACTGAATGTGGGATGCTGTCTTTAGAGATCAGCATAGTTGCGTTCCTGCTCCAGGATAATTATGCGAATGGATTAGAAGCACTTGCACATACTTTCCTTATTTCAGGTTCCTTTGTAGCTGTTGATTTGCTTGTTCAGGTAGCAACTCTCTCTCGTTACTAATAGTTTAAGCTTCTAAGTTGATGTGTTTGCTATTACATCCAAAATACCATTTCTGATTCTGGGTTTTGAAAAGCAAACTATGGTTTGGTAAAATAGAAAGAGAAAATATTTCGAGTTGACGGCAGGCCTTTGAAGTGATGAGTCATAATATCATCTACATAATGTCATCACACACATATGACCCCGAGGAAATATGCCTTTTTATGCTGTTCAGTTAGGAAGAACTTCTAACTAGATCGTACTGAATTGATCTAGTCCCGTTTTCTCATATCCAAATAGCTTGAAGCTGCTGTTTTGTCATTGTGTAGGCAATCTTCATATTCGGGTTTGGAGTACCTATCTTCATCAACAGTGATGCTGCTACACACTGGGGAAAGTGGAGTGTAGTGTTCTTTCACATATTGGTGCTTGCATCAGTCTACTGCTACATACTGTTTGTTCATTATTCGAAGTGGAAAGATAAGTTGCCACGTCAGTCAAATCTTCTCTGGTGTCGAGTCTTTTTTACATTTTTTTTACTTCTCTGAACCCATAAACAAATTGCATAATTTTTGCAGCAAGGCCATCATTCTACAACTATGTTGTCTGCATGTTCGTCGTAAATGTTGTGGGATTGTTTGCTAGTGGATTGGCTGGAATTGGTTTTGGCTTAGGATTCTGGTAATTTTTATTTATTTATTTATTTATTTATTTTTTAAATTCCCCTTCACAAATTAACAATTATATGTCCAATGCATATATTCATATTGTTTCATCTCGTCCAATCGTTCTGCCAGGCTGTACAATTTCATGATCATCTGCCGCCACTCCCTTTATCTCCCTTTCCTCTATGCAACTTTCCTAGCCGATTTTTTCCAGGTAATTCACATTTTCATAAACATGCACAGGCACTTGAAGAATAAAAAGTTACGTTTATTTACTTTTTTGTGACATCATCATATCTGCAGGAGGAAGATTGGCTTTTGGATAATGCATATTACTCAGAGATGAAAGATGCTGGTTTTTTCGATTCCGAGTGGGATTAGCTATAGTATATTGATGCTTTTTCTGTAGGCTTGTAAATAAAACTCTGGGCTGAATCTTTATCTTTAAATACAGCCAAGATGTAATATTTATGTTATTCAACTGTAAATGCCCTTACAATTACACGAACTCATAATATACTTATATTGCTGCAGTTGAAGGTGATCTATAATCTATAATACTTTAATTTTGATGCTCAACAACAATTCAAAATACGTGAATACAAATTATACATACAATCATAATCAAATAATTTTCAAATTATACACATGAGAATAAATAAATTTCAAAAACTACAAACTATTTTGCAGCCGCATATATTCACCATAAACCCGTGGACCCGTCTCCTCTTCATGATGAGCATTGTTATACGCATATCCTCCATGACTAGACACATCAAGCCCAGCCACTTCATCATCTCTTGATATCCTCAAAATCCCAAGCCAATGAAGCAAATAAAACAATGGCCCCATAGTCAAGCTAACCCATCCCACCAAAACCAAAAGCTCAACCACTTGAGCCCCAATCAAACCCCAACCACCACCCAACAAGAGCCCGTACGGCCGGGCCCCCGGCCCAACTCGGCCCGAATCGTAAACCTTCACCACGAACTCCTCCTTCGCAAAAAGCCCGGTGAATATCAAGCCCCAAGCCCCACAACCTCCGTGCAACTGGGCCGCCTCTAACGGGTCATCGATCTTCATCTTCAGGGCCAAGACATTGAGCCCAATAAGAACCCAAGCCGCAACAAGCCCACAAACGATCGCGGCCCAAGGCTCCACAACCGAACAGCCTGAAGTAATCGCCACAAACCCACCTAACAACCCATTGCAGACATCGAGCCCATCCCAATGGCCCACGAGCACCCGACGGGCAAAAAGGGTCGTGAGCCCGGCCGTCGACCCGGCCAATGTGGTGGTGACAGCTGTCCGGCCCACGGCATTCCACTGCCCGTGCCCTTGCCTGGGCAGCACAAGAATCTTGTCGAACGAGCCTGGGTTAAAACCGAACCAACCGAACCAGAGCAAAAACGTGCCGAGTACCACGAGGGTCGAGTTGTGGCCGCGCATGGAAACGGGCTTACCGAACGCGTCGAAACGGCCCACTCTCGGGCCCTCGATAAACGAGCCCCAAAGCCCGGCCACACCGCCCACCAAGTGAACGACCCCACTACCCGCAAAGTCGATGGAGCCCGAACCGAAGAGTAATGGGCCCAGAGAATTTGGGCTTAGCCAGCCCGACGAAGACCAGGTCCAATGGGCCGCGACGGGATAAACGAATCCCGATAAGAAAAACGAGAAGATTAAGTAGGCGCTGAATTGGGTCCGCTCGGCAATCGACCCGCTAGTGATGCCCGCAACGGCAATCGCGAAAGCCCATTGGTAGAGAAAGAAGCTATAGTCATATGAGCTTGATGGGATGTCTTTTAGAGCAAAATGGGATGTACCGATAAACGGGTTTTTATTCGGGCCTTCGCCAAAGGCGAAAGCGAAACCGAAGAGGAAATAAGATAGGCTTCCGATAACTGCATCGACTACGTTTGTCAGCATTATGTTCATTGCGTTCTTGGCCCGAACAGAGCCCGCGCAAAGCATGGCGAACCCGAGTTGCATTACGAAAACTAGGTAAGCTGAAAATAGGAGATAAATGGCATTGATGGAATCTGTGACATTAGATTCCCATGAGGGTTCTTCCATGGTTTTTGGAGAAAGGTTGGGAATAATTTTGTGGTGAGATTTGTGAGGATGTTATATGGTAAAGATTGTTTTAGATGAGACATTAAATGGGACATTTGTAGTTTAGCTCAAGTTGCAATATGGGATGGTCCAGTGCTAGTTGTGGACAGCCTATGCAATATGAATCGGTTATTCATATAGATAAGTTGATAGTTAGGTGCCATGGAGTAATTCACAAATTATAGTCTGATTCGTACTTGAATTAAGAGAATAATTGAGTTGCAATCGACATTTTTCTTTTTTTTTTTCTTTTTTTCTTTTTTTTGCAGAAATCTGATTCATGTTCTGCTATTGATCTCCGAAACTTCTGGCCAGATGGAATCAGAATATTATAAGTCGGGTAAAATGCTCATAATGTCAACGAATATCTCATGTACAGGCAGAAAGCAGTTCAACTGAAGTGATGTAAAATGCCTATCATTTAACAAGACTTCTGAAGAAAAAAAAAAAAGGAGTTTTAAGTTTTAACCATCACCAAATATTAACATATACAACAAACAGCATTGATCTTCATGTCGCAACGAACGCTTAGATAGATAGTACACGTTAATTATCTAATAGCAAACAAATTTACTCGCCTTTCGTCTGAGTCCTCTTTCACGTTTCTTTATCTTTCCCCAGCTCCCCAAATGCTGCTTCAGGATGGAGCTCATCGATTTTTTTACCATATCCAAAGAACATCTTCTCGATTTCGAGCTAGCTTTCTTTCCCGCCTTTTTCTTCCTCCTCCTCGAGCTCGATGATCCCGTTTCAAGAAAACCTCCGATTTTTTCCCCAACTATTTTCGATTCGGGAGCTGAAAAAATTTCAGTCTCGTGGGTCCCACCAGAGGAGGAAACAACAGCGATTTCCGCAAACCAGGAGAGGAGGTGGCAATTGTGGGTCCCACCTGACGAAATCGAGACCAAAATATCTGCAGCGTTTTTATCGAGTTCCGTTATTAGCTGTTCTCCATTTTCTTGGTTGGATAAAACCGAAGAAGTTCGGTTTAGCTGAGTGTGATGATCTTCGGACATAATGCATTTGCCTCTCGGAGGAAGAGTCTCCTCGTTTTCAGGGCTCACGGGCCCCTGTACGCTCGATGGCTCGTTTGGAGCAAATTCGGAGTTCAAGTCAAAATCGAGCTTTTCCATGATCTCGTCTGAAGTTTCCTTCTTTACATTTGAGATGTGATCGGGATTCATTGTCTCGGAAAAAAAATAACTGTCGGGCAAAGTATTTAAATCGATGATCATCACCGGTGAATTTCTTCCATCAGAGCTACTGTTAGAGTTGTGAAATCCAGAATCATCATCTAGAGGTTGGTTTAGATCGATAAAGAGTTGATTTTTCTCGTCTAACATTCTCGGATTATGGATTTCGGGAAGTTTACTTGCTGGGAAAAGATTCCTCTCACCAAACCGAATCCTTTTCTTATTATCATCATCGTCATCATGACAGGTGCCGCCAGCTGTACGATCGAGATCGAAGAAGGTTGTGTTCCGGTTTCCTTTACTTTCGAAAGATGGAAATGGAAACTTTACGTCATTGTAACTTCCTTTTCTTATAAAGATTCCATCCTCGGCTGCTGACATGGCATGAGAAAGAGAATGATTCAACTCGGAAGTTATTTGTGAAGGTAAAGGTTGTTGAAAGACATTTTTGGCCCTCATCTCATCCATCAGCTCCTTTTGTTTTTGGTATAGTCGATGTAGTTCGTGGACCTGAGAGAACAAACAAACGCAAAGTGATTAATTTCCAAAAAAGTGCTTTAGATATACGGCATTTTCGTGCACGCGATATTAAGTGATTATCGGTTTCCAGAGAGGAAAAAATGCTCGTGCTTTATAACATACGAACACTCAATCATGCAGATACTACACAAAAGTGTAGCCGAATTTCAACCAGCCAAATCAATCGTCTTGAAGAATTTGAGACATTGCATATCATTTTTTATAAGCACCACTGTATATTTACCCAAAATATACATATCTCCGTCAAGATGCAATTTTTTGAAGTAGAGACAATTGCATTGGGGCATTTAAGTTTCGAAATGCAATCAGTTTTAGTTTCCCTTTATTTTTTCATCCCTAGTTCGGTTTAACAAGTAATGATATCAAGCATTGCATATCCTCCCAATAGAAAATCAAGAAAAAGTGAACCAAAAACGAAACCAGTTCACAAAACAGTCAGTCGAGAAAATACCTGATGTCTAAATGTGGCGTCATGATTCTGAATAATCTGCCTCAGCACATTCTTGTCATGATTCAAGTAATGCTCCATGTTAAATGGCTGCAAAGGAATATTATTATATCCATTTTCTTCTCCATAATTAGTATATCCATTGAATAGGTGCCACATAACGCCACTCGAGCCTACACTAAGATCTCTCTCATGGTATACAGGGATGTAGCTTGTACACTGCATTTTTGCTCAATTTTCACCTAAAAATTAAGAATTCAAGAATTACAGTTTAACGAATGCAGAAAAAAAAAAGGAAGCAAACTGCACCTCAGAAAAATAAAAAAATACTCACTTAGACCAAGTGTAAGAAGAAGTACAAATCATTCAAAATGATAAAGAGCATACATTATTGGTCTGAACAGTTTATATTGGACAACTTGAAACCACTCAACAAATCCTTTTTGATTATCTTTAGTGAACTATCTAAATCCTTAAAAAACCTGAAGCCTCCTAAGAAGCAGCTATTAAGATCAATAAATCATATGTAAAAGAAGTTAAGACCAAATTTTTTACATATTTGTCAAAAACTTTCACATAATATCTTCACAAAGGAAACAAATATCCATGGATCATACAGAACAGTGTCCACAAAATACCTTTCTACAGATGAATAGATTACATTGATATTAATTCCAGCTCCACAGCATTAAATAAGTTTCGAAAAAAGAATAATCAATACAATTCCTTATAATGATCGATTATTAGGCGAAATCCCCATCAAGATCAGACTGTAACAGGATAAGAAGATACAAATCACAAGACCAATATTCTGCAATAAAAAAAAGTATGAAAACAGAAGCTAACATTAAATAAACAGAAATTGGAAAAGGAGAAAATTATACATTTCTAAAAAAGTCGTAACATAATCAACCACGAAAATCAATCAAACATCATTAAGTCGTAGTGTTCGACATTCCCAGAACTAGAAATAAAAACCTACTATAACATAATAAAAAAAAAAATAAATAAATAAATAAATAAATAAAAGGAAAGTTCAAAACTTTAACTCAAATTCACCACTTTCACCCAAAACTACAAAATTCGCTCTCATCAATTCACCAACAAACCCATCACATACTTTGTTCATTTCAGAATCCCACGGAGGCCACCCACTTTTAAAAAAGCAGAAAACAAAAATACGGAAAAAAAAGATTGTTTTTTTCCTTACCCAGAAGAAAAAAAACTGCATCAGCTGAAAAGAGGACAAAAAGGAGCAAAAGGAAGAGACCCCATTATTAAGAAAAACTGATAATGAGGTCCAGGCACTTTGAGAAAGCCGACACTCAGTGAGAGAAGGAAAAAACCTTGGTGGGCTCTATTCAGTGGTTTGGAAAAAGGGAAAGGAAGCCATGAAAGGAGGCTTAAATTTGTCAACAAGCAAAGGCTATGGAGAAAAAAGAGGAAAAGGGTGTGTGTGTGCTGTGTGAGACACAGAAAATTGGAGTTTCTGGATCTGTTGGGACCACCACACACCCACACACTTTGCAAAGAAGAGAGAGAGAGAGAGCATAACTTACATGGGAAGAGACATGGAATTTGTCAATAGAGGTGGGTCCCAGGTGGGTTGGGGGTGGGGTGTCTGCTTGCACTTTATTGGAGCATTTGGATTTTGGTAAAGAGAGATGTAATGGATATTGGGATATTAGATATGTTTGGTAATATTCTTGAATATTTTAGAAAAAATTTGATTGCTTTTGTTGTATAGGAAATTAGGAAAAGCTAGACTATAGGGTATTTGAAGGAATAATAAACCACTCAAAGAGTCATGTGACATGTAAAGTTTTGTTGGGAGTTACACATTAGAGTTTGGATAGGATGTTAATAGGAAATGGTGATTTAACCATAAAATTTTTGATGTGGATAGTCTCTGTATGGGTAAGTTTGAATTTTNAACCAGCGTCTAAAATAATGAGAATTTGTGAAATAGGGTGAAAAGTAAATAGATCAGTTTATAGCGGTAGATATAAAATAATTAGAAATTATGGAGTAATTGGTATCTAAAACTAGATCTAATTGTTGTAAAAAAATAATGATCATTTTTTAGTATTTGCAAAGATAAACACAAATTGATAATAATATTATGGTTTTGTCAATTCGTTTTGAAATGAATTATTGTACAACAAAATGAAGTTGAAAACGCTACAATTTTTTATGTGAGCTAAAAATCATCAACATCTCATTTTAATTGTAGGAAAAATCACGACCTTTGTAAGATTAAATGATAATGATATAGGTGAAAAATCACGAACTTTGTAAGATTAAATGATAATGATATAGGCGATTGGTAGATAATGAAAAGAAAGACATATGAATAATATTAAAGTTTATAATTGTTGCAAGATAAAGCTTGTTTGAAAAAAAAAAATCATTTAAATCAAAATAAAATCCACTTGTTTTAATAAAGCCAATACTCATAACTCAAGTAGCCTCTACCATTGTGGTGGTAAATATGATGTTGTAGCCTAAGTACAGAACAATTTAGGGCACACTCTTCTGAAAAAGTTCGATATTGAACCAATCCACTAAATTTAAATTTCAAAATAAATTAATTTAAAAGTTTTCAAAAACACTAAAGAAACTGAATTAGAATACAACTGAAAAGTAACTCTCAAACATCCTTTAAAGTCTGATTTAAACACTAATCAATATCTATACCAAACGTCCAAAACCATGAAGAGAAAACAATTGCTTGCTNAATTCCAAAAAAAAAAAAAAAGGAAAAAAGAAACAGAAAGCACGCCATCTACAAAACTACTAGCAACACAAATGTAATCAAGAGCTGCTCGTTTTTCTTCTCACTTGAACTCAGCTATCTCAAACACCCGAGCAGTACCATCAATCGAAACCGATACTAGAAAATCGCCACTCGAAGACAAAGCTATAGACTGAATGGCATCCGAATGCCCTCTGAATGTTTTGACACAATCTCCTGAGAGACTGTCCCACAATCGTACTTTCCCGCCAAGACAGCCAGTGGCTATATATCTACAGCCAGCAAGCCACACCAAACAGGTGACTCCTTCCTAAAAAAAAATTGAAAAGAATAAAAGAAAATTCGACAATGAGTACATTAAAATTTAACTATTTCGCAAAACTGGAATCTCTTATGCAACTAAATGCAGTATGAGAGAAATAAAGAGGAAACAAGATCAAGCACGTAGATTATAAGAGGAAAGAGTTGACACTTCTTATCGATTGTACCGTGTCAAATTAATTATCCCCTAACTCTTTAATTAACTTATTCAAACCTCAAAAACCTGCCATGTGCACATAGGTTATAATTGTGGGAAAAAAAATCATGGTCAATGCAGCGAATTGTTTATGGGTGTGTGGTAATTATTTCTTCACTGCAGGAATTGATTCGTTTATCAATTTATATTACTAATCTTATGATCGATCATGATAGTTAGATTCGAAATCCCAAAAGGATGATACTATGGACCTGAACTTAGCCAGTTTGTTTTGTAAGTTTACTGCTGCTTTATACTAGACTATGGATTTCAGTAGAACAAATCACATTTCTTAATTACTTCCTAGCTTCAAGTGTTAAAACTTGCTTCAGAGTTTCGGTAAAGCGACTTAATGACCACACTCAAAGTACACATAAGGAAAATAAGAAAATAAATAATAAATAAAAGAGAAATCCTGCAAAACCTCATGTTCGCATATGCAACGAGGTGAAGAATGCTGATCCCAGATGACGAGCTTCTTATCCATGCCACCTGTAGCTGCCCTCCAACTATCTTGTCGAGCACTAAAAGAAATTTCACACAAATTGGATCATGGAATAAATGAAATTTGAAAGGAGATGAATAGGAATAGGCTAAAGATACCTAACATTGATTTGATTTTCAACATTTATTTTGGAACCTTTTGTTTGTTTGTTTTTAAGGAAAGTGTTCGAATCTCTATTGCTTCATAAATATAAGATGGAAAAACACAGAGGTAGGCCAAAACCTTGGTTCAAATGCAGCACACTCGACTGAATCTGAATGGGCGCTCAAAGAAATGACAACCTGTGTATTGGGGACATTATAAGAACGTCATCAAGTAACCAAGAAGAACTGTTTTTAAATGTAGACAGTCAAAACAGTCCCCAAAAAAAAATGTACAATAAGAAATTAAAAAGAAATGAAACAGAACAAAAAGACCACCCTTCCACTTGATATATTGACAACATGAACAGAGCCATCACTCGAACCACTAAGCACAAGGGTAGAGTCGGAGTTTATAGTCAAGCATGTGAGCCCTTCAGTATGATAAGGATGACCTGCAATACAAAGTACAATTATTAGAATATAATAGAATGAATCCAAAGGATTCGCTCTCCTGAGAGATTGGATCCTATATGGAATCTCATGCAAAAGCCAAATCAAGATAACAACTAAAAAATAAATATGATCACATCTCATTTTAATTTAGAGTTCTAAACCACTTCGTCCAATAAACATAAAGGAAATTTCATGGTGTAAACACGGTCTACGGGTGAAAATCAAGATGTAAACAACACAATAAAAAAGTTTATATTATAAAAAGAGTCTCATGTTCTACAATCTCCAACACATCATGGACTAAAGTACAAGCATCCGCAACAAGCGTTCAAAACACAAAAATGAAAATTGAAAAAGAAACAAAATGTAGAGAAAACTATTTGCAACTTGCAAGCCATGAAAAATAGTACCTCTAGAGGATTAAAGAATAAAGAGCTGAATCATGAAAATAACATATAGGCAGTCCAAATTTAATGCAGCAAAGTACAAGTACAATTCGCAATGAATAACGTAAAATGACATACCTCTAACAACATGGATAATTTCTGCGGTTTTTGGGTTCCAAATTCTCAAAGTTGCATCATCAGAACCACTACAAATTGTTTTACCTTCAAGAAGTGAACCAGCAAGAGAATATAATGCAGACTCGAAATCATGGTGCAAAAAGAAAAACACACATTCTAATTTTCCTTGTGTTAAAAAGAAAAGAGTACCATCAGGTGTAAAATCGCCACATGAGACACTGCCCCCATGACCGTTGAAAACATTCAGATAAGCAGCTCTGTCAGCATTCCACATCCAAATAGAGGAATCCTCTGAACCGGCCAAGACTAAATGCCCTTTTGGATGCCAACGGACCCACTGCAAAAAATTTTACTGTTTAGCTAATAAAAAATAGCAGAAACAACAAAAGGTAAATTAACCAGCATAAATTCTCAAATATCACCTCAATTCCTCCGCTAGGACCATCAAGGGTACACTTCAGTTCGCCTCTGGCTATGTCCCACACTTTAACAATTCCATCCAAGCTTCCGGAAGCAAGCAATTGTCCATCCGCACTGAAGCATAAACTGGATACAGTCTCCACGTGACCTGCATGGAGTGTTTGAGTGTCATTAAGCAAAAAATCGTTAAGGAAATGTCCCGTGGAGGTCTTTAATAGGTACCCTCAAGTAAAGAGCACAAGTCATTGACCATGTAGGAATAGTAATACTGCTTCAGTTATACATTCTATGTGAATATTTAAACTGTGCCGGGGACAAGGAGAGAAGATCTACATCATTATAACTTTTATCAGTATTGTCTTCAAACATCTCTAATTTAATATACTGGTAACCATATAAGTTGTAACTATTGACTCCAGAGAAACAATAAATTAATGAAAGTCAAAACTAATTTACTTTGCGCATCAAGCTACAGCTATTGAGCCCAGGCATCATTATCCAATTTCCAAGTTATAGGGATCCAAAGTTATGATAAACGCTTCTGACTAGACTTCTCTTCAAGATATATGATAATTTTTTGTCCGATGCATACAATGCATTCTATTGATCCAGGGGAGACTAAACGTAAAAAAATGCAAAACAGAACAGATTGTAGGACCTGAAAACACACTTAGTTAACCTTATCGATAAGGAATTTGATCGATGATTTTTCTTTCTATTTTTAGGCTTTTGCAATTCAGAAACTATGAACAGCAGGCTCTTAAATACCTTGCAACTCAAAAGCCCAGTCTCCTTGATTAATCTTCCACAAAAATCCTTTATCATCTCCACCTCCAGTTGCCACTAAAGCAGCATCTGTTGGACTACATGCAGCAGCATACAGTTCACCTAAATACAATCAAACATCGTTCTCACAACAAGCAAGAATGAAGCAATTATCAAGCATTATTCTCACAGCAAGCAAGCCACAATCTTGCAGGAGAGCTCACCTGATGCATACTGTAGACTAAGTTCTCTAATTCATAGTATAATATACTGGACACGTTTTCAGCTCAGTAACTAGAGGTACATAAGAAAATTTCAGTACCCCACTCTGCATTTCTAAGCAATTTATATCTCAATCCATATAATAATTTAGGTTTGATATCATTACATAATTGTTTTATTACATTTCAATAGAAAATCTATGAAAAGACTTGAAAAAATAACGATATATATATCGCATTAATCGGCATAAATGTAATACAAAGAATACAAGATCAACAATATTTTTATGGACACAAATTTATAGCACAAGAGTAATCTTTTTAATGTGGCCAGCATTTCTCTCTCCTTTGACTCTCATTGAGAAGATATAAAATAAGTAACTTAATTTCAATTTATATTCTTCCAATGCCACATTAGCATTTCCATATTTAGTTTACATCAACTCTAACAAGGTCGACAACAACAGGCATAGAAAGTAAGACTAGCACAATCCAACACTAAATCACAAGAAATGAGGCTCACCTGTATGACCAGTGAATATATGTGTTGAATCATCAACCCCGTCTACAACAAACAAAATCAAAAATCGGATAAGAACAAAGATACAAATTTCTCGTGAAAATAATTAACTAATTCTGACCAGTTACAACAGCCAAAGTCACAAAACCAATGTGTTACATAGTCCAAAGTGACAAGCAAGTTAAAATCATATAACATTTTTCAAGAAATCTCAGGTATATTATACATGTCACTTGACAATTCACATTCATGCTTACAACTGATCACCATCTCAGCACCCCCATACTCAGTTCGGGAAGCAGCTAGTTGGTAAATATAAAATTGATAGTAATGCAAGAATGTAAGGAAATCAGATTGAGGACATCTTATATTTATTTTTCAACATCTTACTTGGTGCTTAATATTAAGGATTTTGACAAATTCATTCCCTTGATTTCAATTTTTATTGATCCTGTTATTTCTTGTTACGATTTATATTTGCAACAGTTTAGCATATAAGAACTACTTATAGTAGCATTCACAGGAAAATCAGTTTTGTAAGGCAAATAATATTCTTGATTGCGAAGTTTTAATACTTTTGCTCTTTCCTACTATTATTCCATTAATAAGTACTGAACATTCCGTTTACGGATTATAACGCACGGGCTACCCATCCCAGGGGTTATCCTAGAAATCCCGTTCAAGAAATAGAATCGTATCTGGTTTCAAATAAACAATGCATTTGATTTGATTCCTATACAAGCTGGCATTCTATCGCATGTGAACAATATTTTCCTATTTTCTTTCACCATGAGTCTTTTGGTCAACCAATTACAGGTGGCAGGTGGGAAAGATAATGAGAACAGGTTTTGAGCAGATCCAGACCCAACTTCTATAAATCGAATAAATCCTGCCCAAAAACACAATAACAACCCAATTCTAAGCTCCACAATTTCAATATAAAAGGAAATTTCAACTCTGTTTTCTCAGACCCAAAAAGACGTGTATGTATTTACGGCAAGATACTATTCAATCAATCTCACAAATGGTAACTTGTCACTACTCACACCAAAACATGAGCTCCTTCGAGCCAAGAGAATTTGTGTTTAGTGTCAAGAACCATATGTCCTGATGCATGTTTGTGCCAACAAATCCCATCAAGTCCTATTTGGAGTAGAAGGTGATAGCCAGACCATTGAAAGAGAACTTTCCATGGGTATTCACCTACCAGTCTCGTGGACAAGTTTGTTTCGGCTATGGGCAGCAATGATAGAGATGCAATAATGAAGGAAATCAGTTTTAGAATACCTTATTCTAAGTTTTTTACTTTCCATTATTATGTAATTGGTGCTTCAGATTGGGTAATGTGACCAATTTATTCCCTTAAATGCCATTTTTTATTCACCAACATTCATATTTGTAATAATATCTACGATATGTTCTTAGCACCATAAGCAGGAGGAATCACTTTCATATTATTAGTTATGTGCGCGATGTAAAAGCGACTTATAGAAGAACAGTTGAATATAAACGCACCAGAATCGTCTTCTCCATCAGAGCCACCTTCCTCATCTGCGTCTGGAAGCTCTGAAGCCACAATCAAGTCAATTCAACAACAGAAAACATTAACATGCATGTTGGACACATAGTGCCCTTAACAGGAGTAGTCTTGAGAGAGAAGATGCAACAGAAAATACAATTTGAATCAAAATCAATGATCATTCATAAAAAAGTTAACTACTTTTGCAGAGAACATAAATGATATACAATTTTTTATGAACATGAACCAATCAGAAATAGCATGACTCAAACAAATAACTTCACTAAAAACCCGTTGTCACAAGACCCCTTTCAGAAGCATTCAGAAACAGGCAAAAGTTTCAAACTAATCACTATAGATACTATTTACTAACCGCAAAAACATGATATTTGCACCACCACCAATTGGAAAAATAATCTTGGCGCTCAAATTATTCACTGGATATATAGTTACAACGTCAACTTCAGAAACTACTTCTTACTAGATGCATACCTTCTTCATCAACATCATACTCATTTATTATATCACTTTCATCCAAAAAATCCCCTTCAGCAATATCCTCATCATGGTCCGGAGACGCCATTTCTGCTAAAGTAAATGGACTAACATTGGTTACACATGCTAATATGATCAAGTTTAACAAGCAACATGGGAAGATAATAAAGTTATATTACATATGATTATTCCTTACAGGATCTGCTAAAATCTTCTAACAATTTAAAAAATATAAAAATAAAAATAAATTGGTCACAAAAAAAATTGGTCACACAATCCATATTCTCCCTCAATTCATCTAGTACTGGGCGACCCATATTAAACATATATTGAATAGAATTGGCAAAAGAAAACTTAAAAAAGAAAAAATTGGATCACAATCGAACATAATTCAGTCAGTTAGCCAAGCTGCTATTTTTTTCTAATTTGATTGAAGGGAAAACGGGGGATAGTCACCAACCCATTTTATAAAACTAAAAAAGGATCCTTAAGAACAAATGAATAAACAAACAGCTACATACAAAAAAAAAAAGAAAGAAAGAAAGAAAAAAAGAAAAAAAGTTACAAAAAATTATACATAAATCATGTTTGTATTCTATATGTGTCCATGACAGGTGAAAAATTATTGGTTGAGATCACAAAAATCTAAGCAAACAGTTTCAGTAAACAACTATAAAAAGTAAACAAGAAAATATGAAAATCCAACTTGCAACATGCCCGAAATAAAATCTCTAAACCCAGAAAAAATACACCAACAACTTCAACAAAAATGGTGAGAATTAAACCGGAAAGGTTGAAACGTAATTGAGGATTGAGGAAGGTTGGAAGACGCCACACAGTCAGAGTTAGGGATGGAAATGGGCCAATTCGGGATGGGGCTGCCCGCACCGGCCTGTTTTTTGCACACATAATTTTCTTTTCTTTTTTTATTTTCAATCCAATCTCTCAATTCATACAAGTTACAAAAAATAAAAAATAAAACAATAAAAATAAATAAATCACACATTTCACAATATCAGCGAGCAATTAACCATTCCANGAAATAAAAAAAAAAAAAATACTCAGCCCGATATCTTCAAACAGCAGTCCAATTACAGTGGTATATCAAAAGAGAAACTCCAATTACAGTACTATTAACAACAGTCCAATTGCAGCTCGAGAACTTCAAATCTATATTTCATCTTCCTCCTCCTGAAATAGCTAAAATTCAGCAATGTAAGAAAAACCCTTGCACCTATTCCCTGAAGTTTACAACCTAGTCTACATGAACCATTTTTAATTTTTAAAAACATGTAGTAATTACCTTAAAATATGAAAGAGGAGTCGGAGGCAGGACAGGCAGAAGCGAGGCGTGGAGGCGGTGTCCCAAAGTCAGTGTCGGGGAGAATTTGAGAAGCCTTTGAATCGCAGATTAATCGGCGGGCCAGGGAGAATTTGAGAAGTGATAACTCAGAAGAGAAGGAGGTGTGAGACGGGCGTGTTGAGATTGAGAAGTCGGACCATAGAATAGCCCTTGAAGCAAATGAAATTGTCTAACTAATCCTTGACCAAAACTTTTGAATATCAAATAAACAAAAATTTGTTATAGACATTGTTAAATATATATCTTTTACTTCAGTTTTTATTTGAATTCCTTAGGTCTTGCAGTAGGTTAGGATGTTTAGTATTTTTTTTTAAATAGGATGTTTAGTATTTTTATTTTTTTTTAAGATCTATTGTATGGGAGATTATGTTCATTATGTAATAAAATAATAAAAAAATGTTCATTTCTGAGCTCAAATTTTAGTGTCGGCGATGACCAGTTTAGTACGGGTTAACACATTTTCTTTACATCCTATACACTACGCAACACACTGCATAGACTTACCGAGTAGTTTCATTTGGTTTATAAAACAATGTCAAAAATGAGAGATCACTCATGGGATTGAGTGTTGAAATTGTATATGATTTTGGTATTAGAATTTTTTTTTATAATTAATATGTTATAGTTCTAAATAATGAATTATTAATCAATTAAATAAAATTATATATGAAATATTATATAATATGAGATAGAAAAATTATTATAACACAAGACAATTATGTCCTGTCAATAACAAGTATCATTTTAAATGGAAATATGAATGTAAACTTTTAAAAACTATTTCAAATTTTAAACAAAATTTTCTCTATATTTTTTAAATATTAATATAAACTTTTAACTACCACCCATCACATGTTCCCGTGTAACTAGTACTGCTAAATTAAATGACTTTAGCTCGACTCGCTTCGTTAAGGCTCGAGTTCAGCTTGACTTGTTTGATAAACGATTATAACTATAACTTATTTAAAACTTGTTTGGTTACAGAGCCGAGTTTGGCTCGACTCGACTCGATAAGGTTGGAAAAGATAATTTTATATATATGTGTATAGCTCGGCTCGTTAAAGCTTGAGACAGCTTGTTAATGCTCGGACTTGGCTCGTTATTAGTGATAAACAAGGCGAGTTTGAGGTTAATTGGAGCTCGTTTATTTAACGAGCTCGGCTCCTGAAGTGCTCGAGCTCCCTAAGCTTGAGTTAAGCTCAGCGTGTTTACAGGTTTCTACGTGTAGTAGGCGAGTGTTTTATACTATTTTGTAATTAAAATTGTTTCCAATCTTAACCCAAATCATCAGTCTCACTGAACGAAGCCAAGCCCTAATCAATTTTCCTCACCACACTGAAAGCATATCCAACGTACGTACTAATCTCTAGCTGGGCTGTTTAATTCGCCATTAATGAAAAAGGCCTTAAACCCATATCTCGAGAAACCAAATTCTTGCATAATTTCTCATCTTCACCTTCAAAACATTTTCATTTTTTCTCGTGACGGGGTTTTGTTTCCCTTTGAAAATCGTTCCATTTATCGAGCTGGGCGGTTCTGATTTTTCTGTTCGTTACTTTTTTTGGGTTTGTGTCAAACATGAGTGGCCACAACAATGCGATGAGGTGGGAGAAGGTGCAGCATAGAGGTGGGAGTGGTGGGCCCGGGGTGAGGTGGGGCCACACATGCAACGCCATTAGAGGAGGCAAGCTTCTCTATGTGTTCGGGGGATATGGGAAAGATCAGTGCCAGACTAATAAAGTTCATGTTTTTGATACTGGTATGGGTGCTGCGCTGTTTTGGGTCTCCCCAATTGTTTTAGTTTTATTTTTTCTTCAGGTTCGTTTTGGATTGGAAAAGCTGAACATTAAACTTTTTTATGTATGCGTAATTTTATGGGGTTTCAAGTGGATGCATGGCCTTTGTTTTTCAAGACACCATCATTTTATCTTTTGGAAGATGTAGTGAGGGTTTTGGTCATTTGTTCCTGGTTACCACATTTGCATTGCTCTTGAGCATATGGGACATTTTTTCTGGTGGATTTATAAGTGGTACATATGACCCTCTGGTTTATGTGATTGAAAATGTATGTAATTTTTATTTTTTTTGATAAATTGTGATTAGTTGGTTGCAAGTAAAAGTATTGCTTGATTGTTTTCTAGGCTAGTAAGATGTGAAAAGTTGAAGTTTCTCTTTATTTTCTCTAGCTTTAAGGTGACTCGTTTGAGAAACTATGAAGTTGTGTTATAATTAGTTATAGAGATAGATTGCTTGTCATTAATTCTGTTTTCCACATTGCTGTAAGTACTGGTGAGGTTGAATCTGATGTTCCTATGTTCCATTAAAAACACACTTCTTGTCATGCAATCATTTTGCATATTGATTATTGACTCTTAAGTATTTTTGCTATTAGTGTACTCTAATTTTATCAAGTGATGTACTGTGGATTATTGTTGTCATAAGCGTATTTTGATTCTTAAATATTATATACTCCCAATTCATTCACACAAGCCGCGTCAAGCTTTCTAATGCTAATATATTTTGTGATCAGTCAATATGCTTTGGAGTGAGCCTATAATGAAGGGCATACCACCTGTGCCAAGGGATAGTCATAGCTGTACAACAGTTGGAGATAATCTGTTTGTATTTGGTGGTACAGATGGGAGAAGGCCGCTTAATGATTTGCACATATTGGATACCTGTGAGTTGTCTAGTTTCTCTATTTTTATAGATATTTTTCATTTAGAACTGTAATATTACAGTGGGTGTAAACCATGCACTGTTCTGTTAATACTACCAGAATGGATCCATTTATGGCAGGGCTTTGTGGTTTATCTCTATCATGCTTTGTTGAGTGTGTTTAATGTTTGAACATGTTGTTCGGTTGAAGATACATTTTTACATGCAGCTTGATGTTGACTGGCAAATTCCATTAATTTATCTATTTTTTTTTTTTTTGCCAATTACAATTTTCTTACATTTCCTGTAGTTTTTCCTCTTGCAATTGCTCTTCGCATTCCATTTTTGTTTTGTAGCAACAATTGATTTAAATTATTACAGCAAAATTGATTATCTACATGAAGAAACCTTGAACTTTATTGATGCCTTGATTAATTATGATCATATTTTGGCCTTGAAATTCTTGGCCACCATCTTTTTACATGATAGCCACCAATACATGGATCCTACCAAGCGTTAGAGGTGATGGGCCAGAACCGAGAGAAGGGCACAGTGCTGCTCTTATTGGTAAAAGGCTCTTCATTTTTGGTGGATGTGGCAAATCAGTGAACAGCGAGATCTACTATGATGATCTTTACATATTAAATACTGGTGAGTACTTTGTGCTTTGTTAAGCAAAATTACATTTGGTTTGACAAGTCAATGTTAGCGCCAAAGCTAGTTTCTCATTGGTTTTGGCAATTATTCCTTTCTCTAAATTTTTTTTCCTCTCCAGCAAAGTCTCGTGTGAAACAATTTCACTTTTACGGAGGCTGAAATTTCTTTCAGAGACAATAACTATTTTTTATTATGATACTGGCATGTCTTTTACGTTGTGAACGAACATCGATTTCAAGTCTTCATTTTGATATTCCAGAAACTCGTTCTGATATATAACTTTGAGTTCGTTTGATAGTTCAGAAACTCATTAGATGAATGTAAATCTTGGTGTCAAATAATTAGTACTCTTTCTGGGGTAATTTGGGAAAAACAAATTCGTCTGAGGCTCTCTCTCGACTCTTCATTTCTCTGCAGAGACTTTCTCATGGAAACGTGTAGTTCCATCAGGCACTCCTCCGAGTAAGAGGGTCAGTCATACCTGCTCTTCTTGGAAGAACAAAATCATTGTTATAGGTGGTGAAGACTCGAATAATTATTATCTATCAGATGTCCACATACTTGATGCTGGTACAATCAAAGATTTT